TTGAAGGGTAATTTTATTGTAATAATAAGTGAATATAAAATTTGAGAGATTTTTATCTATTTTAAAAGACTATATAGTAAAATTATTTTAATTAAAAAGAGTTTTTAAATGTTCACCTTCAGATGCTTATACTTCATTAGAATTTCAGCTAATGGAAACCTACAGCATTTCATTGATTTCTTTAAGTGTTTGAATTTCCATGTCTGTAATTATCTAACTGCTGAAAAAGATCCCATCATTCAATCAATCACAAATGCAGTAGCGCCAGCTAAATCAATATGACGGTTTATTGTTAGAAATGTAGGTATAGATTTAAAAGTTCATATTTTATTAATTTATAACTACTGATGAAAAAAGGTTAGTATAATAATAGATAGTAATTATGAATTTAATAAATATTTAAACGTTCCTAAATTATCTACATCAAGTTGATTGAAACAGATAAAGATGCTTCATGCAATTTTTTCTTTTCATCAGTTTTCAATAATATGTTGAATAACATTGAAATAATATAAGATATTGTCCTACATTGCTTCTCTAAAAGAGTACTAATCTTTTAGCAATTGAAATTTCTCCGGTAACAATACATTTGTTAATATTCGGCATGATAGGACTTTGGCAAGGTACCACATGTTCTTTGTAAATTTTTTTTTACATACGTTAAAAAAAAAATTCCAAAAAAATGGATGCCAAACAGAAATAAACCAATGATTTGTATACCATCACTGTAACCACAAAAACAAAAAAAATAATTAAATAATATAAACATTTTTTTTTCTGTTTTTAAAAATGTCCAGACGGTCCGAACCCCAAGATCATCATATTTAGCCATACACAAGACAATTTTTTCCAAACACTAACGTTTTGTCTCATGGATTTGTACACAAATGCACACTATAATGCGTACAAGTATAAAAACCGTACAATAAATAAACAATTATTCACAACATGTGTACAATTTTACAACAGACCAAAGCACCTCGAGTCATGTTCCAGCAAAATGCAAAACACAAGACGACTGACGAGTCAGTCACGATTGTTTATCGTTAAGCAAAACGCAATTTGAATTTTGATTAATTGATATCACGAGGAATGATAACATCCGTATTTTGTAAACATTGCCCGACCTACATAATGTGGCGACCGGGCTATGTGCTATTTATTCTGTACCATCGATTAAATATGAGTAAGTAAAAATATATTAATTAGTCGATGCTGGTACAGAGTTATAGGCTATTCAGTTTTTCCCATTTGCGGTTTAAGTGATTATTAAAATAATGAACAATGACTGTTATCTCGGGGGGCCGATGTCCACTATCATTATAGGACATCGTGGAACTAACCAACCGAGTTACTTGAAACGCGTTTATATGTTCACGTTTTGCCACGTCAACACACCGAGGCCTTGTGGCGCAACGGATAACGCGTCTGACTACGGATCAGAAGATTCCAGGTTCGAATCCTGGCAAGGTCGGAATAATTTTTTGCACTTTTTTTCAGGTCGATATCCATTTGTATCCTTCCGCCGATGGAGGCTCATTGTAATTTTTATCTCAAACAATATACACGAACGATTTTCAATATCATATTTTAGTATTAATCGAACACGTTTACCACCAATAAAGGATAATGTAGTTATTATCCCAAGTTGTTTGTTAGTTTGTTTGTCATCCGGTGAGAGCAGTGTTTGAATTGGAAAACAATTGTAGGGGGAGGGGGTGCAAAAATGTAAAATTAATTTGCGTAGTAACGTCCTGAACATTCAAATGTTTTATTGATTAACCCTTGTATGACAAAATATTTTTTAAAAAGAAATATTCCAATATTCCATCACCCGTCAATTCAATCACCTAATCCATTATGTGAGTATACATTATTTAAGACTTTTTTCTGTTGAGATTTCCCACATGCAGGTACATGCTAGTTGGGAAGGGAGACGATCTGTGCTGTTTCTATACCACATGAGCATCTGGAACACAAGGTCAAACAGACAAATACAGGTAATGTTTGGAAAAAAGATTAATCGAATAAGAAATACCATTGTAAGTACTCGGCACCCCTCGCCCAAAAATGACCTTCCCCCTTTTAGACTGAAAATGATAAAAAAGTTTCCTCTTTTCTTCTTAAAATTATTGCATTCTTTTTGAGTACTGTAATTCCTTCTTCTGGCTATGCCTTTACATATTATTATATTAATATAATGAACAATTTCAAATACATTTTCAGATCTGAAACATTCTAAATTTTTTTTTATTTTAAAACATTTCTGATTTGATCACATATTACTTACATATAGTTACATAATTATTGTTTAAAGACAATAAAATACTACTAATATACAACAGTACAACACATGTATTGTGGGCACTATTTAGTTGCAAATATTTCTATCTTTAAATCGAGTGTCGTACTAGGATCTAAAATTATAAAAGGCCTAGGAAGCAAATTTTTCAAAGAGCCTTTCAAAAATACTCGTTTACATTTTTTTTTGTTAGCTCTTGTGTGGTAAGTAAAGCTTACATAGTTAAATGCGATACATAAACAATTAAAAACTTTGAATCCCAATAATGCTGCTGCAGATTTTCATTGCATAAAAAAAAAATAATAATTACAATAAGAAGGTATTAATCAAATATAATAATATAATTACATTCATTGTTATAAATATAATTATGATTATATTCATACAGATATACAATATTTACATACTAAATTAATATATAAAAATAAATAAACAGAAGTAAATTGTAAAGTCATACATTTTAATTATTATTTTCGTTATATATTATACATTATTATTAATCCTTTTAATTAATTTGATGAGTTTATCACATTGTCAAAACATTTTTCTCAGTCAATTTCGGTATCTTTTTTTACGTCCATCATCATTCATAGAGCCAAATGTTCTTGCTTTATGGTTTATCAAGGAATTGTTTTGATTATAGAACAACTCTCCCACTTGGCGCTTGTGTAAAGAGCAAAATTATTATAAATTCGTAAAGTATGATTAATATACAAAACAAATTTGGTTGAAAATATCAATATTAAATTATAACATAATCACAATAAATATAAATTCTGTATTTATTACAATCAGGTTTTCTTGGTAATATTCACTTTCGCTTGCATGAATTATTATTTGAATTTAATTTATTTACTATTTAACTTTAAATAAATGAAATAATTTGTTTAAATGGTGAGGGTTCAAAAGATAGTACCGTCAAAATAACCAACTGCTTGATTATGTTTTCAAATTTTAAATTAAAATTTGTCTTGTTTTCTTTAATCTGCTGTTTATTGCTGATAAGTAAGTTCTTACTTAAGAAATTTAAAAAAAAAATCATATTTTTATTCAGTATCAACACAAAAAAGTTAATACATCAAAATATTCAAAGTGCAGCATACCCAGTGGCTAGTCTTTGAGGCACCAAAAACACAATATTACTACTAATAATTTATATTATATTAATAAATACGACAAAGTTAGTGTGTACCTATACTGTATAGTACTACTAATTTTAAAATATAATATGAAACTTTACATTTTTATAATATCATCTCGGTATAAGTTATCCATTATTTTAGATGTCCCTGCATTTTAATTTTTATCACATAGATGGACTGATGGAATTGGGTTTTAGACAATAATTATTTCATGCTATATGTATCCAGCTAGGACAGATTAAGTACTTAGCAATTTTCCCCTAATTTACTGTACTTCTTGTGGCTTGTCTAAGCACTCTATCATTAATTTCGTGCCAACTTTATTATGTCAGCAGTATTAATAATAATAAAAGAAAACAAATATTGCCAAATTTAAATATTCAACTAGCACACAAAACCATTATTTTATATTACATTTTCACGGAGCATAGCCATTATACAGTGTTAGTAATTGTAGCTCAAAATATAAAAATGTTTTGTAAAAAACAAGATCAGCGCTAATTAACAAAAGAATAATGTGATTTCATTGTGATCTATCAATCTTTAGCGTTCTCACATTTTCATATAACATTAAGTCAGTTGTTTTTGTATAAGAATAAGACAACCAATAAATGTTTGATAGAGTTGAGATTAATGGAAAAGTAAGAAAATAAGACCTTTTCACAGTCTAGCTACTGGCTTATTGTGTCAATCCACTAACATATAATAATTATTACAATGGTTAATTTTCATAAAAAATACAATTTTTTTTATATTCCATTAGTGACCAATATTCCAGATAAAATGATAAAGATTATATCCTAAGATTGTTTCAAATTGACCAAACACTTTTAAAATATAAGGAAACGTATCCATTTTAATTTTTAAACAGTTTCATAAATAACAAATAATAATCTTAGTAATTATTTACTTTTTACATAATATGGTTAGTAGAGTAAAGTTTAATAATCAATATATTGAAACAATAAATAGTGATATGTTTTTAAGGCGTTTTAATATAGTATATATATATTGTACAAATCAGTTGTAGACTATACTGATACACTATAAGCATAGAGTTGGGATTAAATGAAAAACGCTGATTATAAGTATTAGGATTATATAAATAATAATAAAATAACAAAAAAAAATTACAACTGCTCATAAAAGTGTTGTCTGTTTGTTAATTTTGTTCGCTTATGTTTCATAAATATTACTATTTTATTTTATTTCATTCAATAATAACTTAATGGTTTTATTATTATTAATATTATTATTTTTTTAGTACAACTTATATAAAAAAAATATACATAATTAATCTTTAACCATTACAATATATATAGGTTTATATATAATTAACACTCGTCTGGTATTTATAATAAATTTGAACAAACACAACCTATTTTTCAAGTTAAAATATTAGACATCTGTTTTAGAAAAATACACAAATGAATCATTAATTGACAAAATTGTTACTTATGTTATTTAAATATTCAGGTTGAAAGGCGGAAAATCGAGTAAAAAAAATAATAAATAAACAGTGTAAAAAAAAAAGAATATTTGGAACTAAAGAACTTACGATTAATAAAACAAAATAAAGGTGGACGGAAACTCTTTATAAGTTGAAAACTTATTACATTCTCGTTTTGGCTTTCAACGGGTTAAACGACGGGAAACAATAAGACACAGTGGCTGAAGTAGAAAAATAAAAAGTCAAGCAAGATGAATAATTTGCCACTGGTCCATTTCAATTGCACATTGGTTAAAGAAATTTGATTATCTGAAAGCAATAATAATAATAATAATGATAATAATTAAAAACAAAATTCCTAACTTAAAAAAAATCCTACATGACAACTTGAGCTCGGACCGATTAAATATCATTTTCATTAAAAAATTGGCACTTTTCACAACCTTATACATAAAAAAAAAAAAAATAAGTCTAAAATTATTTATGGATAGGGTGTTTTAGTTTAGTATATACACAATTGATTTTAATGTCATAGGGTGTCGTAAACATTTAAAATAAATGCCTCTGTTCAGCTGGAGTGTATGGAGATGTAGGACGTAGGTACAAAACCTTCCTCAACATTGGGAGGTTGTCTTCTAACACGCGTCCAACCGTCTCCTTGATCTTGTTCGATGATTAACAGTTGCTCTCCGTCAAACATTGGTATTGACCCTTCGCTTGTAGCTGTAATGTTCAATATTAGTGTAAACATTGTGTTATAAGTATAACATAAATTATAACATTTAATAATTGACAAGACGTATTTACCTTCAAACGCATAGAGAGCAGTACAAGTTCCCAGTGGTGGCAAATCGTGAATATCATAATAAGGCGGAGGATCTTCATCATTTGCCAACGAGTTACGCGAAGCGCCCAGACTTACAGTCTCACCAGAGTATCGACTGTAAATAGAATTGTTGATGTTATATTATAAGTGAACAATTTTAAATATTTAAAACCTTACTTGTTTAATCCAACAGCAGGTATAGAAACACTGGAATCAGACGCTGAACGGCTCAAAGATTCATCTTCTCCAAGAGGAGCTCGTCCATCCGTTAAAGACGTATTTATTCTATTACTATAAGATACAATACATAATATAAATTTCAAATTTATGTGAAATAGTTATAATATTACTTGTGATTGGATAGGTTGTTAGTGCTACCATTGCCGATACCATTATGTTCTGCCAATTCATGTTTACGCGTACCCGCAGGACTAACATTACATTCGACTTCTTGTAAAAGTCCCTGGTACTTCGCTATATCAGAGTTGAGTTTATCGATACGCTGGGAACATTCATTCAGTTGACCTTCTGTGGACATTGGGTCACCTAGGGCCGGGTTAGATTCGTATACTCCTTTCATTTTCATTAAGCCGTCTCTAAATAAATAAAACACTTATCATATAAAATTCAAAATTTCATATTAAAATCTAAAAATTATGTACTTGGCGGCTATTTCTTGATGTAATTTTGCTTGCATTTCATCTAATTTTTGAAGGATCTTTTTTCGACGTTGATTTGGCGGTAATTCACTGTAGTCATCCTTATCGCCCGAAGATGAAAGATTATTCTATAATAAATAATTTAAATTAATAAAATAGTATAACATATTATTTCAAAATAATGTATCATGCTATTATTAAAACTGTTATAAAAACAAATAAAGAAATGATTAACATAAACAAAATAAACATTTAATTATTTTATTCAAGCTTTTCTTTTATTCCACAAGCAAAATAATTGTATAATACATGGGGCCTTTTAAAATTGTCAATAGGATAATACTCAATTTTTTTACATAAATATACATTTTTGAGTGGTAGCTTTAACTCGTCAGTTTAATATTATTATTAGTTGAAATTAGTTTTTGTTAGTAATGTTATAAATTATAATATATGAAATTAATAATTATAAAAGTAGTGAGTTAACATGTAATATGGAAATTAAGTTAATGGTTATTACGTTTATGTAAATGTTAAATATCCATTAAAATTAGTGTATAATTAAAATCCCAACTTGGTCATCTTAATTTCATTATTCTTAGTTTATAAAAATATAAAGGTAACTTTTGTTAATTTGTTATATTTTATTAAGTTTCTAATAATCATCCTTTTTCTGATTTTTAGAGGTGAACAGTCAAACACAATATTATTTAATCACACACTTAAAAAAATATTTTTTAATACCTTTACAGAACTGCATACGTCCATTAGCTTCCAAGTGCATGTAAAACATATAAAGCGAGCGTGATTAGCCATGCAGTTAGTAAATAGTACAATGTAATAAAAATAATAATATATACATTTTAAAATATTATAAAACAACATAATGTACAATAAACCCTACAATTATGGGATTGAGTTGATTCTTTCAAAATTATAAAAAATTCGAGTCGTTAATAAAAGTTAGTGAAGTGACGATATGATTAATTTCTGTGAGTAAACGATGTTTTAATGATTCATGTTGGAAACCTAGAAACCGTGTTAGGTATTAAAGAAAACAGGATATTAAATGTAATTTGTGGTTAAAATAGTGTATACTATGGACACCACTCGGAATAGTAGCGTTCAAATAAAATTAAAAATATATTAATAATTATTGTGATCGCTATTAGCTCAAAACATGAATGCGGTGAAAAACAAATATAAGGCGCGTCGTTCACTAAGCTCAGTCTCGTCGTGTGTTCCAGAAATACTGACCCGCTTAACGTTTGTATTTATGAATGAATCGTACGTGAACGACCCGAGATATACAACAATAACGGTTTTCTCATATTTTGTTAGGAATATATTTACAAACACATTATTATTTGTTAATCTTAACTCTTATTACAGTCAACAAATCATTATCGCGGTCGGATGAGTATTTCTGGGGCGTTAGAAAACGTTAACGTTTGACCAATATAATATAACGACACTATAATCGTTTTTTCCCCACGGAAATGATGTACTTACAGAAAGAAGAATTGGGATGGTATTGAGAATTTTTCAAGAAGAGCATATTTTATATTTCATTGCGAAACATAATCGGAAAAAAAAATAAAAATAAAATCCGTTAAAATAACGACCATGGTATTTAATCAAATGGAAGGTACATAATAATATATTTTAAATGTTATAATTATCATCGTCATAGATTTTTGTAAAAAATGTCTATGCATAATATATACCTTGTTGGAGCTAAATATGGCAAACAGGCCCACACGCTTTTTCAGCTTGCCGGCCGACATGGTGCCCTTGACGGTCATCGATTCGGACCTGTGGGCGCCAACGCCCGATGACACGTAAGTGTTGCCGCTACCGGGCAATATGAGCGGCGTGGATTCGCCGCCGCGGCTTAAATCGTCGAACGGGAAATCTCCGGGTGGTTCGAAACCAGACTTGTACCGTTCTATCACCAAAATCGTGTCCTGAAAGTCGAACGAAGAGTAAAACAAATGCATGATGAAAAATGTTAAACAATATAGTAGCCGCGTGTTTATCGCGGCGAACGAAGTGAACCAACCACAGTGATCTTTGGTTTCGGTTTACGATTTTTAAAAAATATTTTTTCAGACTTTTGAATAGGATTTTTATTTTTTCGTCTCAGAGGGAAATCGGTTACTAAAATATACGAGCAATAAAAAATTGTTTGGAAAGCGGGTGTTGAGTTTATGCATAACAAAATATAATACAAAATCCACTGGAAACCGTCGACGTTTAAATTTTACGGCAAAAAAAGCAGCATTTTTGTATACAATTTGATAGGTTTTCAATATTATTTATGCAAATACATTATACAGAGTGCAGCGAGACTACATGTCTCGCACATATATTTTCCTTTAATAATCAATTTATTAAAATACTGATTTTTGGCAGTTTTATTTACTATAAATAAATTCCAAAAGTCAGAATTTGAATAAATGCATTATTAAAGGATATATTTATTGGGGTGAGCATACTTGGCAAATCACACTGTAAACTGCATAGTGCAAACTTATAATAATATATTATATTGTTGCGGATTTATCGCCTTCGACTCACTTGTTTCTCGTTCACTTGATTGGCAGCGTTTATGATGCCGTCCAGACACTTGTTTATGATCGGGAAAACGTTGCGTTCCACGTCCGCCGAATGGGCCATGAAATGCCTGACGTTTCGAATGCGTTTCTCGTCGAGTTCCTGCAGCTGCCTGAACACCTCCGGCATCAGCGCTTTGTAATGTTGGCTCTGAACGGACACATAGCGACTTAGTAAACAGCAAATTAAGTGCATATAAACCACGCACAAACACGCATGCGACTTAACGACGTGCTCGAGTCTTGCAGTGGCTCCGTTTAGGAGTTGAACGCGTCCAAGTTATTATTATTGTTGGGAGAGTAGTGTAAATATAGTACATATACACCGAGATCATTGAGTTGTATACAGAGCGATCCTTCTAATAGCGAGAACTCTAGTTATTTCGAAAAGCAGGTAACTATACATATTTCATTTTTTGGAAATGTGTGTATACGACGAATGATTTGACAAATATTATTCTGTTTTTAGTCATATATATAATTAAAAATGTATAGGCTATAAGTTATCCTTGGGAAAAATGAAGATATGAGTGGTATATAAAGTATACTAAAAATATTACACGATCATAACATTTTCCAAATAATTTGAAGCTTTTCGAAACAAAGAGAGTTGTATATGATATTCCTATACAAAAATCAAATTCGGACCCTTCTCCCCCGTCGATTTCGAATTTTTAACCGTTATTGGAGAACAAAATTTGTACGATTAAATAATCGTACCTGAAGCTCATTGGTTTTTTGCAGCTGGTTGGCATACTCGTTTTTTGATTCCTCACAGTGCTGGTTTTTGATGGCCATGTTCATCCTTTGCTTTTCCACTTCGGCTCGGGACAAGTTGAGGTCAGCGTCGGCTCGCTGAAAGTTATCCAGAGCCCTTTCTGCCTCTTTGAACGCTTTTTCATAGTTTTTCCGCGACCTCTCCAGTGACGCCACCTGGTTGTTGATCATCGCCACATATTTCGCACTGTCCTGGAGCAACTGCGGTAGAAATGAAAACGCATTTCAAAAAATTAATTAGGGTTATTGGTATTTTTGCCATAACAGCAAGAAATGTGTACTACGAGTGCTCACTATGGTGGGGGTCATGATATTTTAACCTGAGGGTTCAATGAAGGAACATTGATAGATAACATGACATGTATTATAATTCTCAGTATCAAATAATGGAAACAGTAAATATAAATATCTGATGTTATATACATAAATATAAAATACAATTTGAAAGTAAGTACATAACGCTTGTATTAAGGACCCCGAAAAATATAATCGTGTTAGTGTAGCTATACCATAATATATCTAATGCTTCTTTTAACCAACAATTAAACTATCGATTTTTGTGTCATACATTCAAAAGTTAGTTACTTATATCAAATTTTGTCTGATTTTTAAACAATCAATTAAACTATAAAAAATATTTTAAATATGTATGTATAATCATCTACTTTTATGTTTGTTATCAATATTTTATTCTAACATAGGATATGTAAAAAAATATGTCCCTCTACCACGGAAAATTCCTGAGCACGCCTCTGGACATGTGAGTGTACCTATACATACGGAAAATTAGCTGGTCGTATAATATTGTTTTATTCTTATTTTTAACCCATATACAAAAAGAGTATAATAGATGGGCGTACCTTCTTTCTCTCTTCTTTGATGTCCTTCACTAGATAATTGATTTCTCTGATGACGTCGGATTGGAGATTTTCAGCGATCACCTCATGTTGACCTGCCAAATCGTTCACTTCGCACAACATCGCCTTGAAAGCTTTACACGTGCTGTACCTAGCATACATACACAAAATCAAATAAAAAAATATTTAAGATGAATAACAATAAATAATCATAATAATAATAAAGCAATCGATTACTAAAGATTATTAACAATAAAACAACAACAATAGGTAACGAATATGACTATTTCGTAAAAAGAAAATGTCCTTACTATATATTATATATAATACACATATATAATATATTTATGTTTATAGATTCGTTTTTCGTAATATATAGGTCACGTGTGTTGTACTCAAGTATTGGAGAGGCGTTGTTATAATTTTCTATACAGCCATTTTGAGAAAAAAGACATGCTCGAAATTGATAAACAATTGGTAATTTTGTGTATAATGGTATACTGCACGGATGTCTAGAAAGTTTGGATACGTATAATTTGCATTGATGTGGAAACACTTTACACGACTAATGACTACAGGCTCAAAATACATTAAGTCATAACTACATTTATAGCTAATTGTTTTGTAAAATATTTAACGAAAACTTTAAGACAAATTTTAAATATTAGAAAACTCAATACATAATAATTTATTTATATGAAATACAAGTTACAATTTTTATAAAAACATTTGTAACAGTTTAACTTTGATTTTTAACATTTCGTATTAGTATTGTATTTTTATTTAGGTGTTTAACTTGATGAGATAATATATAAGAGAAATTTAAAATAAACTACTATATTGTTTGATTACATTTTGGGGACCAAATATGAGAATAAAGTTGAGGGCCTCAAAGTTACATATAACTATCAGCGAGATAATGAAATGTATATTAACGAGGTTGCCACCCTCTCACTTACGAGACTAAAAAAGTTAAATAATATACATAATAACTAATAAGCATCTTTAACTAATCTAAATATTTTTTAAGTATTCGTTACTTAATTTCAGAATAAAACATACCATCTAATAATGATAAAGATAGTGAGAACATTTGAAAGAAAATAATTGTATGCAACGGCAAGTTTTATTTTTAACGAATTTGATTGAATAACGTTTTCTCAGACTTTCGAGACTTACAAGAAAACGTGAGAATATAATATTATAATATATACAGTGGTACGACAGTTTGCACTAATACACTTGTATAAAAAAAAAAAACAGAGAATTGTTTTGGTTTATTTGATAAGATCAATCATATTATATTATTTATCTGGGAAAAAATCTCATTGTCGGAGTTATGTTAATTCAAGTTATTTGTTTATGTATTGCGCTTGTCATATAATACAATATTGTACATTTGTACCGATTATTTTTTTAAATAGCATAATTTTCATTACAATAACGTTTTTAAACGATTTTCGGCGAAGAGCATTTTTTAATTTGTTACGAATCATCGGGTACTAGTACGAAATGGTTCGTATGAATAATAATAATAATATACAATACGATGCTCCTATCCATGGATATATTATTTATCATATTGGTATTCGTAAACGACAACCAAGGACAAACGGATGACCGAATTACAAATAAAATAACATGTTAATCCGTTTTCATTTTCAATAATCGGCATGCACCACCCTCGTTGTCGTAGTAGTAAAATTATTATATTATTAATAACACCAGGTTACTTTGACCCTGAAGGATATGAGTATATATATACATATATTAAAGTAGTAGATATAGGATAAATTTAATTGACTGAACACGGGCAAGGAAGAGAATAGAAGGTCCCCCTTCAGTATCGATCCCCGCGAGTAGTTACGTCATCGTTATAGCTATCGTGACTCACGCGAGCTTTGGTCGTGAAAAAAAAATAAAGATTCCCCCACACGAACAAAACTGTACCTCGAACGGGAAAAAGATACAAAACTATCAAATCCACTATAAACAGTACAAACCCTCTAAGGCTCCAAAACGAATCCCATCTTGTAGATCCGAAGGGAATAGAAATCATGGGACATTTTTAATAATAATTTGACAATTTTTGTCAAGTTTACATAAAAACAAGACGAAAAAAATACTTATTTTCATTAGAAAAATAACAATACTTATGTATGCAAATAATTTGTGTTGATTAAACATTAAAAAAGATACACAATGGATATTAACTTAGACGAAGTGTTGTTAATCAATACTTCTTCAAAAAACATAAGTATCAAAAATTCTTTTTTGGCTGTGTTTGCTACAATGAGAATACTAGAATAGTGTTTACCAAAATAATATAATAATAATAGGCACAAAGAATAAACAATTTTGAAATTTAAGGGACATTGTGGGTATATACCCCTACTATAAAGTACATTGCAGGATGTGAATACCCTAACAACAATATACACATTGAACTTATTATTGGGAGTATGAAATATTTGCGTATAGGTACTAAGATAATGAATTAAAATATTGTCTTCGAGTAACAGTGTATTTCAAGTTTGAATTGTTGTAATAGGTCAACAGGTGTGACCATAAATTCCATACACAATAATGTCACAGGCTCATAGTCCTAGAAGTGGTGGACATTGGAGTAAATTTTATATAGTATAAAAGTATAATATTATTTTATCGAATCGCATTTTGCTGAGCCGTTAGCGTTCAAAATATTCAAATGTTTATTTATAAACGCATACACGCAATCCGTGATATGATAATAAATTATATAATTATGTCCCAACATTTTCGGAAACTATTAATTTAGTGTATTGACCGATTATTTTGTCAGAACAAAATTGTCTTCCAACAACACAATTATCATATAGATAAACTAGTGAGGAAATTTCAGAATTCTTCGAAGTAAAAACTAAAAACATGATTCATCATATAGGTGGAATGCAGGTGCGACAGAAATGTCCGAGGTAAAAAATTAAATTAAAATACGTGACGCCGATGACCGCGACATTGAATTTTTTATTATTCATTTAGCAATTTGATTTTGGTTTCGAACTTGCTACAACTAAATACCAGCAGAAATGGGATGGAGTAGGTTTAACACCCAGTCGCAAATTATTTTTGACTTGATTTAGGAGGAATCGGACTTGATGATATTCTTACCTATAACTTTAATAATAATAATTCACTTTAATATTGAAATAATAAGAGTAAATGGATTATTCTATTATTCTTATCATACGATTTGTACATTACTAAGACGGAGAAAACATATGCGGATGTGTCGTTCGTCCTCTTAAGCATTTAATTTTTGGTTTTGATTTAATAATCTTTGAACGATCGAATACCTATAGATTATGATATCATTTCTGACCACCGTATGTCTGTACTCCGTTTGCTATATAGGAAGAAGATGTTTATTTTAATTGAGAGATCATATGTTAGTAGTTGGCATTTAGTAGAGTATATTGAACTTTACAAACTATAGTGCTATACGCTATCGGCGACGATGGCCAAATTAAATACCGTATTTTTATGATCTAGTCTCAGAACACGAGACGGCAACATTAAACCTGTATTTTTTTTCATTTTCAACCGATTTATATTTTGTATGATGATGACCTGTATATAGCTGCGTAACGCTTGTATTAAAAAATATTCATTAACAAATGGAACTACAAAATGAAAAGACATTTTGAAAATAAAAACTAATAATGTAAAAGAGAAAATATGAAATAAATAGAAATAATTTAAATATTTTAAATATATCATTAATCGTAGTTTATGAACGTATATAACAAAAAAATACTTATGTTCATAAGGGAGTCCCACGCATTTCCCTAAAATTGGATGAACCAGAAATAAATATTATTATTTCTGATTGAAAATAAATATATTTCTTTTATGATATTTAATTGACAATTTTAAGTCTTAATAATAGTAGATCATATCGGATAGTAGCTCGATCCCGATCAGATTATAGTAAGTTATTAGTTATTAGTTATTAGTTATTACTTATTACATATTTTATCCATTGGACTTTGGTCTTTAGGTCCAATAAGCGTTATACTTGTCGTGTAAACGTTGAAGTTCGTCAGGACTTTATTGAGAATACATGTTTTTGTCGATGGTAAAATATTAGAATGTTGTCACTATTTTGGTATTATAATATTATAATATTTTTTAACATTAACTACGTTAAATGTAGTTAACATTTAAAAAAAAATAATTAATAAAATGATCAAGTTCAAAAGGAGTTGAGAAATAATTGATCATAGGGGCTACACAATGCGCATATTATGACACATAAAATTGTTTATTGAGAATGCAAATTTTCAGCTTTGGAACATTTAAAAATATGCTTAATAAATTTTTAGTAAACACAATTAAAAAAATGTTTTAAATTAATCTCCGTCAATATTACATTGGTTGTAAATCATTAGGCCCAGAGTTTTATTATTAATAACTTTTTTTTTGTACCGACGACGCCGGAGGAACTAATTTCTTATTGCTTCCCCAACGGTTATTTATAACCTACTTTTCTACGTCTTAACTTTTGAAGATAACAATCAAAACCATTAGCCACGTAATTTTATCGAAAAGCACTATAACAAATAACAATAATAATTATTATTATAAATGACAAAAACAATCTAAAAATAGCTCATCTTTGAAAATAAAAGCAAAAACCTTATAGCCCAGGGTTATTTTTATTTATACACAAACGCGGATATTAATAATAATTTTACTTTTATTTCCCCGAGCAAATTATTTTTAGATTGTCGTTGTCGGAAATATCATAAGTGCTTGTAGATGAATAAAAAATAGTTAAATAAGCTTCACAATTTTTATTGATGAAACACATTATTAAAAATCTGTGTATTTTGTATAATATAAAACAACGAGTAAAAGGGTCGGAAATTAAATTTATTTGACACCAGTGACCAAGAAAAAGGAAGATTTCATTTTTTTTCAACAAAATATTTTATTCAAACAAAACAAAAATAACCTAAAACTAGTTGAACCTACTTCTAATTAGGGGTTTTTGCCTCAAAAATATAAGAAAAAAGGGCAAATTAGACTAACTTTTTCAAACTTCTTTAAAATTTCTGCTGTGTACAACCTTATACCACTCTGACCCAACTACAACCTCAAACATTCTTCCCATTTAGTCATTTCAAAACTTAGCAATCCGTACCTATAATTACAAGTACCCAATGTAATTTTAACGACCAAACCTCTACATTTAAAAACACCAAATTAACTAGTAAAAATGCATTATAAGCGTTTTCATAATAAACTTACACTAAATTTGTATATTCTCGTTTGTATTCAATCCTTACTTCAAATCGTATCCCCGATGAGCCTCTTTCGCAGATTAAAAAAATACTGGGATCGTAACCCTAACAATATGTTGAGTATTACTAATGGATGACTCCCCCCCCCTCCCATCAAGCGATTCATGTAGATACATTTTATTCTGGTATCACACTTAATACCAACGTTAACTTTATACACAAATTGTGTGTATAATTGTTTTTGCTTTTCTCTAAGAAAAACCTACTTCGACTCTCGAGTAGATTTGTATTATTTTATTTCTTATAGTGTACGTCATGATTGCATCTACACATATATATGAATATCATTAGTACATTAAATTCACGCCCTTTACCTTTATATTTTAATATAATACTGGTCTAAATTTGATAACAATATTATGTACAAAAGACAAAAGTACTCACTGCAAAGTTCAAACTCCATACTATTTATGGTGATTAGAAATACTAATGTAACTACCAACTACAAACTACACGTGTACTATGGATTAAAATAAGCAATTATTCAATATTATTAACAAAGCAATAATTTTTAAAACATCATTATTTTGTAGATTTTTAACGAGAATTTAAAAGTGACTTAGAATTTGCATTTTAGATGAAAAAAATGGTTTACAAAAGGGTAGGTTATGGTTATCATTACTAATGTAATTTCTAATTTCATATATTTCATCAGAAAGTTGGTGTTTGGCACTTGTTTACATTTACAATAACTATTCAGACGAAAAATAAATATTCATTAGATAATTAAGACGAAGATGCCTTTTTGTTTAATCAACCAGTATTTTATCATACTTAGTTCGGAATTTTTGAAACGTTTGATATCGTTACATTTAGTACAACACAAAAGATCCGATTTTTCAATGAGCCACGTACAAGAATAACATCCTCTTTTCAGTGGCTTCTCAGACGTTGGAAATGCGAAGAGGGCACATTTTTGTAAACAGTATCGGATGCATCCGATAGCGTATGTATATAATAATTATGGTGTATATCAGGGGTGGCCAAACATCGTTAACATTTTTACTAATCTAATAATAGGTATTATTTATTCCTTGCTCTTCGTAATATTTTCATTATATTGAGTATGGACTATGGATCACGATTCGCGCACTTTTATCAATGACTCCGGGTCTAGAGTAAATAAAAAGGTTCTGTTGTTTCGGCAACCAATAATCTTTACTAATATCAATCGTTTGCATATTTAAAATAATAAAATATATAATATCGAATATTGTATAGTAAAATAAGATCAGTTTTTCAGTTTGATCTTTGAGACAACAGACGTCCATCGAAACCCTATATTTTAAAGTGATAAAGGCGGCAACTTACTGATATTCTTCTTCTTCTTTTTTTTTGGGTTGATAATTTTTAACCAATCGCCTGAAAAAAAACGAGATTACATAATTACAATAATAAAGTAAGGTTCATATTTCATAAAAGTCAAACATGTAAAATAAAAACCCATTTTATTTGGTTATAATCACGTTAACATTGGGACAATATAAATCAGGGCTGCCTCCCTTTTGGAAGGCCTGGGTCATATTAAGTGAATAAGTTAAGTTGTCTTGTGCCGTATTTTCATACAATTCACATATGTGGAAAAAGCAAAAAAAAGATCCTTTCATAATATCGGTTTTATAGATTACAAGTAGAAAAATACGGGAAAAAACCAAAAATGAACGAATAATTTGAAATCGCTTTTTTTTGTGAACGTTATGATTCAAAATGATTGAGTTTTAAAATTAACGCTAGGGCCACAAGGTTGGACCTTTGATTTAATATATTATATTATACAGAGTATTTAAGTATAGCACAAAGATCTGATCATTTTACACACTGGTTATTTCATTTGTGTTTGTTGGATCTTCGTGTACACACTCTGTATATAATCTACGAGTTTCGACACATCAATTAATTTAATTAACTAAATAAACAGCACGATTTTTTATGTTATAGTCGGGAAAAATATTACTTCGGCACAAAAAATAAAATACACTATTATAGACGTGTACATATTTAATGCATTTAATCGTGTACTAAATATGATAGCCGGGGTCATTAATATTTATGCCGATAACACTGTTTGTACCTGCATAATATTACAATATCGGCTGCATACAATTGAAGGCGGTATGTGCAGCAATGGCTATCCGATTTCTACAAGACGTCGACAGTAAGGTATGTATTGGTACGTCGTAAATGTTTTGAAACGCATAATATTCGTACACGAGGTAGCAGCCAGTAACGAGTGTTTTAGTATTTTGTTCAGCGATAGGTAAGGTTAGCTTTTAAACGTGTCCGATTCGATAGACTTATACGATTTTGTAAACGTTCGACAGGAACAAGTAGGGGTCGTTAGTCATTGATTAAAAATCGATAAGTGAGTGTGTTAAACTATATTATTATAACGAGTAATAACTATCGGAAATAAACACAGACCATTGACGACTCAGATTGACAAAATAAACAATTAGTATTGGTCTATTTTTGCAAGCCATTTTGTTATAACATAATATTTTCGGAACGATGTTCATCATCATTAGCATTCGTACTGAACATATTTTAGGTTCTCTTGAGTTATAGTTTTTTATTGAATAATACATTTTGATGTTTATTATACCTAACGGCCAATACTAATAAACTGTCCATCCACATTGTGTAATATAGTATTTGAATGGTTATTTTTCGGTTCAATGACAGCACTGGAAACCGATAAACGCGGCCCGTTAATACAATGTCATGCCCAATGACCGAGAAAATCCGGAATCGGACAAGAAGAAACTATGTTCTATACTTCAATAGTGTTTAGAACATTTCTTTTTGCAGTGTTAGTGTTGGTTTTGACTAGCATTTATCGAAACAATACCTACGGGCTACGACACAGGATATAAGATACAATGTCATACAGTAACTACGTACAAACACGAAATCGTAACACGAAAATTATTCTGTTTACAAACGATATTTAAATATTTAATGTAAAACGATAAATAATGATTCGCGATTGAAAAAGCACTGTCCAAATCGTAGACTTTCGAGTTTCGCCTCGGAAGAGCGAAAAAATTATTCAATAATATTTTTGTCGCGTTTTCAAAAGCGCATTAAACAGAAATCGTTTTTAATTTTACACTGGAGAAAACATATAAAAATATACAAAACGAGATGTTATATACTTATTACTTATATAGTTATATACGATTCCTAATTCCTATCCATTTTGGCAATCGAGAAAATAAATACATTTTATAAATATTGATGTGGACATTTCAACTATAACAAAAATGAAAGTAAGTAAATATACAAATATTTCAGTTTATTCGGATTTAATTAAATGAAAACAAATCATTGGATTAATGTCACAGTTAAAAAATATCATTCCTTTATTTTTATTGTCTGCATATCATTATATAATATTATGTACATTTTACCGTGGGCTAAAATATCGGCAATATATTATTTCTTAGAACGACATAAATCAATAGAGCATATTGCATATCACATACTTCATAAACTTATCAACTACCTATTATAAAACAATAATTATTTATTAGGTTTATCAGGCCAAACAGAAATCATTTCTTACTCATTGTCAATATTAAGTCATTCTTGTTTGTCCAAAGAATGAAATATGTATTGTAATAATATTTATCATCAATTCATCGACATAAAATGAACGAACTACGAAGTGTGCAATTTATATGCTATAAAATGTATGCTTCAATACAGAAACTATACACAAAAATTGCAATAACTAACATGTAAATACAATAAATTTATTAGGAATACATTTTCAATTTTACTTAAATCCTAATTAATATTGCCGTGCCTAATTTTCTAAATTCAAATAAAATATTGAACCAAATAACTAATGAAGATATTAGTACAATAATTAAAAAAACTTTAACCAGGTAAAATACTAAAATATTTAAATGAGAATTTTATTTACCAGATGTTAGGAACTTTTTGACCAATATTTTAAGGGGGTACTTTGTCATTTATAGTTGTTTTCATTTAGACTAGAGAACTAATAGTTGATATAAAGTGGACATTTTTTATTATACTTATAATCTAACTCATAAATCACAATATTAACAGAAATTTACACTAAAGCCTAATGGTGCGTTTTCCTGGCCGCGTCAGACAGTGGAACAGTCATAGACGCCGACCATTGTCCAGGACCGATGTGGTACTAGATGTCACGTCCAAACGCTGCAGGAAAAACGAACCTTATTTAAAAACTGAAATAGAACAATTTTAAGGAATAAGATATAATTAACATCAATCAGTTAATAGGTCAATGACATATGAAATAAATATAAAAATAGGGCTTAAACGATTATGGGTTTTAATTACCCCCATTACTCTCATTAACCTTCAATAGGTTTCAATAATCATAATTTATGAATTTATGCAAATTAAAAAATGAAAAAAATCAACATTGATAGAAAAAAAATGAAAAATGAACTGAGAACCTAAGTTCTTTGAATTGAATTAATTAAATAAAGCACTAAAATTAATTTGGGATACGGGAGCTGTTCTGCATTAAAACAATCGCTCTGTATATTTTATGAATTCACATATTTCAATAGATAAATAAATTTGTATGATACTTTTTCTATTATTATAAGAAGTAATAACAAATATACGAGTATTGTATATACAAATAAAAACGCGTCAGGTTGCCAGGGTGAAAAAACAGAAAATTAAATAAATATTTTTAGGACAACATCCGATCGGCGATCAATTCCATGTAAATATTATATGCTTATTAGTCGCTGTCTAAACATTTTTTTCTTATCATAATATTTTAAAACTATTTTGAATGATATATATTCTGATATTATATTACACACAGATATTTAATTTGTTTGAATTGTAATCGAATCAAAATGTTTGATTTGGGGACGTTAAAAAAAAAAATTATATTATTAGGTATATTACTTAAATGTGTATGTGATATTTAAGAATTGAAATAATCTTGAATATTTCATTTCAAGTGATACATATTTTAATACTTATCACGTCTTGCGCATATCAAATAGTACATGTAAGCATATAATTACTTCTAATATTATAATAAATTAACCAAAATTTGATTAAGTATTTAACCAGAGGTTAATTAAACCTATTGTTATTAACACTACAATAAGCCGAAAATCTCAGAATCGTTTTTTTCAAATGCGATGTTTTACCCTCGCATTACTCAAATTTATTATATAAGACACTATCTTTGCCCGGAGTAAATGAAGTAAGTCGAGGATCATATCCAGTCACTACAGTATCCTATCCTGTTTTTTTCATTACTTAATTTTACTCAATATTTGATATATATATATATATATATATATATATATTATATACACATGCGTAGAAGTTATTTTTCTTATGTATTTATTTTAGTATAAAACCTGTCTTTACTTAGTTTAATTTATAGAGAAGGAAAATAACACATGACACGTACCCTCAAAAATGTACTATATTACATCCGAGGTGGTCACCTGTCTTTCCAAAAACAAACATTATTTGTGTAATTTTATCGTAATATCATCATTGGATGTGAAACGGATGGACGATGAATATAAATAATAAGTTTCACTATTGTGTTACGTCAGCATAAGACTGTGGTTAATGTTAAATAAAGAAATTATAATAGGACTTCACAACAAAACCTTAAAATTTTAATTATAATCTGAAATAGTTTTATAACTACTTGTCTACATAATATTCTGAACACATAATTGATAACTGAAACGAATACAATCAATACTAGAATTGAAATTAAATACATATTTAATATATTTCAAATATTGGTGTATTTGCTACGAAATTATATATTTCCTTGATAGCTGAATATTTACTTATAATTGAATAAATACACTTCAATATTGTTTCTTCATATTTTCTACTCATAATAATATAAATATAAACAATAATTGCACCCTTTCCTTTTGTAAAAAATTATATTTTATATTAAAAAAATTAAATATAGAAATGTAAATATGACGAGATCAAGCGTAAATCATTTAATGTAAGCTATTTAGTAATATTATATTATTACTAATATAGAATACGGTGTGGAACCGAAAAAAAATTTACAATAACGACACTACAAAATATATTATAAATAGTAAAAAATATATACTTTTAACATAAATCCTAACAAAACATTGTACCTATAAAAGCTTGTTAAAAATTTTGGAAAATGTAATATTTATAATATCACGAAGGTCAAACGCGGCAATTACTTACAATATAAGTGCGTATTATTTATAAATCAGTGATCTTCCCTTTCCCCCCTTTAAATTTTATTAGCTGTTAAACGTATTATATTTTCATAATATTTACATAATGTTTACATACCTGAGTTTGCCAGCGTATTCCATTTCAATGAGGCATCTGTCGCGGATGAAGTGCCCATATCTTTCAAGAAAATCAATGCCTTTTTGAGTGTGGAACGATAAATTATCGTACTGGTCCTAAAATATAATAAAAAAATGCCGTTATATTTAAGGTTAAGATCAAGGTCAGTAGAATAGCGTAGAATGTAGATACATTAGGTATATATGATATATCATATTTATAAATATATAGGCATGTGATGCATTTAGAATAATAAACATTTTTTATTTGACTGTATGCCAATACTAAAATATTGGCAAATATTGAATTTAAAAACAGTTTATTCAAGTCGATTTAATTATTTCGAACTCATCCATCGCGCATACCTGAATGGCACGTGCACGCATACCGAAAGGAGAGGAATCGTTGTAATGGAAAAAATGAGGAAGTTAAAATGATTATAGATAATGGTTTAGATACATACTATTCTACTACAGAAGAACACATATACCAACATACATGAAACATTGTTTCCGTTCTATAAACGATTTTTCCATTAATTAACACAAACGTTCGAATAACGGACTCCAGAGTTCTTACAGTACCTACATATTTACGCTTTCACTATGGGCACTGATCTGTTGTTTCAAGAATGCGAAAATAAAAGGCTTAACATTACCCAACAAATATGTCATATAATATATTATATCAACAAATCAAATAATCAAAAGCAAAATTTGATTAAATATTTTATAAAAGAATGTTTCTTTCATTTTCAAATGTACCTACCTATTAGTTAATACATGCATAAAATCACGATAGGATATAATTAAAAATTATCTTAACACTTATGATGGGAAAATAAAATAGAAATAATGAAATAATACCAAGCACATAAAATATTTTTTTTTTTGTAAAACTTGCCATTCAGCCTATAAGTATTACTTCTATAAACATAAACATAAATCATACATTTTAAATTTTCAATATGTAAATTCGTTTTATACTTTTCAATTATATGAATGAAGTTGGGATGAAATCATTTAGAATTTGTAAGAAACGCGTGAATGTATGTGGAAAATATCCAGTATTTGTGCGGTTTTTTTTTGGTCATGACGATGTCAAGGTTGCCAACACTACTTTTTAAACTATAAAGAGTCGTACCGACGAACTTTCTACTTGTTTAAGATGACTTGTAATCTTCCATATTTATGTCAGTATTATTAAATATCACTAACTAAAAGATTGGGACAATAAATTATATTTAGATATTACATTGAAATGTAAACATAAACTTTAGAGAAAGGATATTGATTAGCTTGCAAAATAGAAAAACTAAGGTATATACATAAAGGTATACTGTATAAACATAAAATTAATCATTATTTATCACCAAAACGATAAATTAAAAGTTTAAAATACTAATACCATGACTAAAAATACTCAAAATGTTTTAATGAATTATTAAATAATGGATTTAATTATTATTAGATCACTTCAGAATTTCACAATATGGAGGAGAATAGAACTATAAACTAGGCTTTTGCAGCCATTAAAAAAGCTTTTACGTTCAATGTTCATAAAAACCTGTGTACAAATTACCAGTCTCGACGATATTATTGTTATAGAATATAAATTATAAAGGTTTGATATTCCAAACACGGAACAAGGATGCTTCGAGTTTGAAAGAATGGTCAAATGTATAAATAGTTAGGTCTATACTTAAACTCCGGTTTATTGAGAAAAAAAAATGATTTCTGATTTTGCCTGGAATTATCAGCAGGGGTAGAATCACGTCGATCATTGCAATTAATTCAGACAAGATTCGTACAAGAAAAACCTGTTGTTCTACTTTCTCCAGACAAACCACCACAGACACTAATAATAATAACTCCCGGTGCAGTTTACAAACCAAAATGCTGTTTCTAAAATAGGAGATTTTTTTTAAGAATGTGATTAAACAATTTGTTAACATGACTAGGATATTTTATACAATATATATAGATAGATATAGTGTATTAGATAACTAATTTAATATAGTAAGACAAACACAATAATACATAATAAAGGTATACTATAAATATAAATAATATAAATAACATTTATTATCTAAAAATTAATACAAGTACCAACAATTGGTGTAACAACATTTAATTTTTGGTAAATATATTATGTCTAAATCGTCGAACTTTTATTTGTTTTTGATTTTGACACGTAACGTCTGTATCGATTGGAACGACTGAATTGTCCTTACTATTAATGGGCTTGGCAGCACCCCAGATTGCAATTCCATAAAACAAAACAGCCCTTATAGCGACCGAAACACGATCCGTATCATTTTCCGTTTTACTTGAACAGTCATCAAGCATTCAGGTAAATCCTGTCATGTATGGTTGAAAACTGAAGGACTGTTCAGTTGAAGCACAGCATACAATTATCAAGCGTTTTAGTTATTCTAGTTAATGCGGTGACTTTCATGACGGTTGTTCTTAAAAATGATCATGTGCGGTCTTCACTTTTCAGTTGTTGATTAATACGTAATTGATTATTGATGACTTGAGAAATGAACATTACTTAACTATTAAGACAAGCTTTGTCAGCGGGTACATGCCGCAACAAAGTATATTATGCATTCTTCAGTTCCATTTTATTTGTACGAATTTAATTTCCGATAAGACACTGAGCTAAACAGATCATTACGATTGTATAGTAAATTAGAAGTTTTCTATGAACTATGAAGTGGTATTTTCGAACTTAGGGAGAGGGTGGTGGAAATATTACATATATATGAAATCTTATGATACTGGATGATTTTCTTAAATTTTGTTATCTAATCCCGGAATGCTACATTTTAGTTCGGACAGGGATGGGAGTGTTGTTCATCATTAGTTAAGGACATTCTAAAGGAAATATTTTGAAATGATCCATGACTTCCGCAGATTTGTCCATAATAATTTTGATTCGTCATTGTTAATCCCATATGTCAATTTTATTTGCGTAATCCTGAAGTACTTGATTAATACTAACCAAATTAAGATTTCGGCGATCCTCCAAAAAAGTCCGATGAATAGTCGTAAAATAAAAATTATTCAATTCATAAAATTTAAATTTTAAAAAATAACTAAAATATACAGGTGTATAATTTGTTTTTATAATATTACTTACATTTCATTATCATTCCTTAAACCAATACAATTACAAGTTACAACTGTACAAAAAGTCAAAACACAACGGAAATTTACTTGGTAAATGGTAGCTTACTATATTATCAATCTAATATTAATCGCGACTGTTTGTCTATACACGTATCTACCATAAGATTACCAAAAGGCTATAATCAATAATATTACCACTATGTAGGTTTAGATAGTATGATATGATATATGTATATTGTATAGGTATTGCCGCATTGGTATACACTTATTAACTCATTGATGTTATTAAATGGGGAACGTAGATTATAAACAGAATTTGTCACTCAGTCCTAGTATCGTGACTCGTGAGACGTTTTAATAAGTTTTCGCTTCTGTGGAGGTGATTATAATAATATACAATTAAAAAAAAAATTGTTTTTAATGGATATGCATGTACAGTTCATCAAAAATTATTTTTAGGACTAAGCCATTTTAGTAACTTCAAATGTTTAAAATGTTTTTTTTATTTATTCATTGATAATTTTGTGAACAGATCATAAATTTAAAACACATACTACATTTTTTTTTAGATTTACTTATCTACTATATTTATTATTTACAAATCCATGAGTTAAATAAGAGAAGTTTGACACGGCAAAACGTGTTTCATCAACAACTTCGACTCCTCCACAAATGTTTGCTTGAGTTATAAATCAGGTACCAGCAAGGCCATAGCCAGAAAAATATTTAGGGGGGTTTGAGTGTAAATATGTTATATTATATCATAATATATGAAAATATAAAAATATTATTTAAATTAAATTAATCTTGATTTAACAAATAATAAAATCTTATTTCCATAAATATATGGGGGGGGGGGTGAACCCTAAAGTTAACTCTAGCTACGGCCTTGGCTAGTCTTTAATATGTTTAGATAATTAAGAAATAATGAGAAGAAAGTGGGGACGTAAAAAAACATAAAAGGTAATCTTAAAAACCAAAACATTTGAAATTAAGACGTAACCAACCAAAACACGGAACGTACACGAGGTAACATTACTCAAAACACCACACAAAAAATGTTTGTGCATGCTGGAACAATAGGTTTGGGCATTTAATCGGAATATAGGACACAGTCATTCAACAATTTGGATGCTGATATTCAATCTTCAAGAGGAATTGGGAGTAGATAAATCAAAGGAGGCATTACAATTATAAAATGTATGTACACACATTTTTAATAATGAACTAGAAGCATTTTTAAATAGTATAGGGTATACGTCATTGATTACACAAAACGCAACATATTTTAAATTCTAATATTCATTCTCATATTTTTGAACTTGGGTCATACTTTTGTATTCATTATATTTTTTTAAATTTTTGTATTGAATAATTAATGAACATTAATACTTGGAAATTTTTGGCATAGGGATAACACCTATTGAAAAAGAAAATTTCGTGAATTGAATAATTATTAAATTGTATTTTTGACCTTTTTGTTCAACTAGAAAATTTGCTCGAACTTGTTGACAGATTAGGTACTGTCAATTTTATCCATAAAGAATTTGTATTTATAACTAAATTTTAACTATAGATAACCGAATAAAAACACAAAGTTTACAAGGGTTACTTTGATTAATTATACGGGTTTTACTAGATATTGTATTATACAGGAAACAGGATATGCAACCTACATATAGAATTTATTGTTATTGATTAGTGATTACGTATAAAGTGTCAACATGATATGGGCGTGTGCACCATGCAGACTCTAATCGTAGATGCAGCATAAAAAGTGAAGCAGCCCAAATTCGTTATGGCCAGATGAATATTATTCTTAAACGATATTATTGGGATGAGAAATATTATTCTCCAAGGTTTCCATACATATAAAACTGAAACCTATTATTAAAATAATCATTATTGTATGAATAAGTTCTAAGGAATCTAATGGTAATTTTTTTCGTCTATTTTTAATGTGTTGTAAATTTGTAATTTCC